GCACCCCAAAACTCAAGAATAAAACTTGACAGCTTCCAATCCAGAACAAAGCCCTATTTCCTTAATCCCTTCCCAAATGACCTACAAGTACACATCTTCCAGATAAGTCTTTTCTTTCCTATTTTGAAAATTTGAAATTTTCTCCTTTTAAATTGAATTTTTGTGATTTTTCATATGGTATATTTAGATACCCTCCCCTATCTGCCCTGACCTTTACTACACCCACCCAATTTAGTGTATGTTAAAAGAGGCTGAATCTCTCCCTCCCTGGAGCCATCAGTTGCCAATCATTCCTCCACTTCAGCTAGAGTTTCTTACCCACTTCCCCCTATCTATGCTAGGATTTTGTTGGGCTTGAGCTTACCTGACAGTTGTGCATACTTTCTCCATTGCTGCAAGTTTATATGAGTAACTGATCAGCTGTCTAGAAAACTGTTACCTTGTGGTTATTCACAAATTCTTGCTGTAACAATCTTTCCCTTCCCTCTAATGACCCTTTTGAAACCCACAGCTCCTATGTTATGCCATTTCCCCAGGTGGAATGAGTAATTAACCCAACTTGTGAAATCCAAGTTCAGCAACTCTGTTACTGATGGTCTTAGGCTAGAAACATTGTAGCGATTACTCAGCATCCCTGTCTTCATAATAGAGTTATAATGTATCACTTGGTTTTACCCTGGAACTATTACATTGGATCAGTTGAAGAATTAAGGGTAGGAGCCAAGAATCCTTGAAGTTCATCCCAGCTTGACTTGAGAAGCATCTACGAAATCCAAGAAGCACAGAAACTTTTACAAAGCGACCACTATAACTTTACCAGAATATTCATTAACCACAGAAAGCATGTTTAGAATGCAATTGTGCCTATTTCCTTCTGCAGTATATCTAATTTAAAGGTTCTTATCTTGTTCTTAATTTTATAAATGGTTTGGCCCATGAATTATTTTCTTCTTCTTTTTTTTCTCATGTAGACCAGGCTGACCTCTAACTTGGTGTGTAGACAAGGATGATGCTGAATTCCTAATCCTCCTGCCTCTACCTCCCAAGTGCTGGGATTACAGGCATGAACCACCATGCCCAGTTTCTGTTTATGCGGTGCTGGGATCAAACCTAGTGCTTCATGAAGGGAGGCACTCTACTGTATAAACCACATCCTCTAATTCCAGAAACTTAACATGTGTTTCTAGAAAACATTATACATTCCAATTTAAAACACAACATAAACGGGTGCTTAGCTTTCCCCTTCATTCCACTCCATCAATTTTGTCTGCTTATCAATTGAAAAGTTCATGTTTATCGCTGAAGGTGCATGCCAGCAATGTCATGATTAACTGCACAGATGCACTAGATGGCAAGAATTGAAGACCTAAAGTGCACAACAGATGTGGTCAGGATTTTTTTTGTCTTTTTGAGACAGGGTCTCCCTGTAGTCCCGCCTAACCTGAACTCACTATATAGACGAGGCTGGCCTTGAACTCACTGAGATCCGCCTGCCTCTGCCTCCTGAGTGCTGGGACTAAAGGCATGCGCCAACCACGCCAGGCTTTATTTTTTTATTTTATATATATATATTTTTAGCTACTCTCCAGCTTGGGCTTATTATGCCACAAAGCAAGATGCCTGGAACTGAGCAGCTGCGCTGATTAGCTCAGTGGGGAGGAGGTTCAGTAAGGCATTAAGGACAGTAAGCTTAGCTTATAGGCTATCTCATACTCAGATCGTCAGGGACGGTGACAACCTCCCCAGTGCCAAGATGACTGTGGCAATTCACAACGTTCCTTCGCGGACTGAATAGTGCCTAAAGAGGAAGAAGCGACTTTAAGCAGGGTCTGGAACTTTCACCTGGGAGGAAGGGAGGTTCTTTGCCAAAAATAGCCTCTTTAACCTGTTCTGTCAGTATGGAAACTTCTCATTGGCCTAGAGCGAATCACATGGTCATGCCTAAACCAGTCCCTGCAGGAAGAAAAAGGATTGCTGTTTAGAATAGTGTTTCTCTGCCCAGCCTGCCTGTTGACGTCACCTGGGAGCCTTGGAGAGACGATTACAATGCCTGGCAACAGTGTATCGCCAACGTTCCCCAGCTGTTCCAAATGTATCCCCGAAGTGAATGTTACTGTATCAGCCTAATTAAGTTTCACCGCTGCCGGCACCCTGGTGGGAAGTACTTTCTGAGACATAGAAAGAGCAGACACTGGAACAAAACTATGGCTTTGCCTCTGGACATGCTGACCTGTACCTGTCGACACAGCTACTGGGGAAACTGAGGCCGGAGGATCTCTTGAGCTGAAAGTTCCAGGCCAGCCAGGGCAACACAGCAAGACTTTGTAGCAAAACAAAACAAACTGCAGACAAAAATGGGGCAGATCGGTATAGGGCTGGGACCCAACTGATTAAATTGTCACGTGGCAGGACTTTGATACTGCTCAGACAAGGGATCAAACTAGGTCAATCATCCACCCACTGGGTGAGCTATAATGAGCCGTTAAAAGGATCTCTTATAAAAGGTTTGATGGCTTTCTGAATGCCCTGACCCCTTTCAAAAACTGAAAATTATACTGTAAATTTCACTTCCCAAGTGTTTTGTGAATCTGCCCTCCTCCTGGGAAAATGTAAGGACATGTGTTACCTGGGCTACACACGAGCTTTAACAGTGGTATGCATAAGGCTTCAACATGCTTGCATATTGCACTGCCATCGTGAAATGTGCCATCTTGGAAGGGAGGGGTCAGGTAGATACTGTACTTGGTGTGTCTAGCCCTAACACTCAGGAGGCTCAATAAAAATTTATTGCATGAATGAATGGGAAATGGGAGAATGAATAGGAAATGCCTAATATTAAGCATTTATTCAGCATGTATATGCCAGGTTCTAAACAAAGCCACACATACTGAAAGCTTATTTACTCCTAAAAATAAGCTTATAAAGTAGGAGTTATTATGTTCAGTTTAAACATGACCAAACCATCTCACAGAAACTAATTACTTGCTGAAGATTACAAAGCAGGAAATGACAATTATGGACTGAAGCACACAGAGACTAGATTTCAGAGCTCACTATGTTCTTTACCTTTTCACTCAAGAGGGCAAAGGATAGGCCACGTGTGTAATAATACATGGAGATCTCTCCGAGTGGACCGTAATCCAGAGGAAGGCTGCAAGAAGTGCTACCTTCACACACACACACACAAGGACTTTGTAGGAGTAGAGAAAGAGACACTGATCCCTGACATACGTAATGATGGAAATAAAGAGAAACGAATTAATTCACCTCCCCCTAACCTGGAGCGGAACTTTCCGTTCGTTCATGGGCAAGAAAAATCAAAATACTTCAGCTATGGTTTACACGTGACAAGCAATTACCTGTGCTTCAGAACTACATAGTCCTGTCATTTGCAGAGAACACCACCACCTACTCCCCACATCCTTGGAGAATCATGGCTCTAGTTCTGGCTTCTGGGCTCTGTTATCTTAGATACAGGTCACTACTTGGCCATCTTTCTCAAACCTGTCCCTCCTCTTCCTAGCCACTATCTGGCCAGTGGAGCCATCACTCACCCAGCTCCTTATGCTAAAAAAAAGCTGGAGGTCTCCCAAGATTCCTCCTCCCCTCCCCTCCTTCATATCCAATTGGCCACTGAGTTTTATGGATTCGATTTCATAAATCTGCAATCTGTTCATTCATTCATTAAATATTTATTGTGTGCTGGGAGTATACCATGATGAACTGGATGAGACACCCCCCACCCCCGGCTTCAAGCAGCTTACCATCTTAATGAGGGCATCTTGCAAATGAACAACCCATTCTACAGCAGAACAGTAAATGCAAGAAAGGGTAAGTAGAGACATGGGAGGGGTATATGAATTCTCTCGGGAAGCTTGTGGGATTTTTCTCTTGGAAGTGCCCAAGTGGAGATGTGAAGATGTGTACCAGTGAGGGAAGGAGTGGGAGGAGGGGAGGCAAGTGCAAATTTCTGGAGGCAAGAACAGAGCAGTGTGGGAAACCCAGCAGTTCAGTCAGACTGCAGGGATTAGCCTGGCTGCCGCTCTCCAACCCGGTCCTAATCCAGTAACTACACCGCCCAGTGGCTTTGCACGCCAGAAGACACAGCCCAGCACCGCCCTCCCTGTCTCTGGAGGTCTGCCCTTCAAGTCTCCCATCCCCTTGTCATTTGTACTAGGAGTATTTACTAAGCACTCCCTCTGTGCAGGTACCCGGTTAACAGCGGCCTCAACGGTGCCTTCCAGCCTTCGGGGAGGTTTTGATCCACTGGAAACAGGGCGTGAGGGAGCAATTCCGGCAGTGCTGGGAGCTGACACCTAAGATGTTAACGACCCTTTAAAGACCCATCTGCCTCGCTGCCCACTGCTCACCCCCGTCAACAGGGGCCTCCGGGCCTGCTACCTGCCGGTCCTCCCGGAAGGATGACCGAGTGTTCTATTCACTGCCCGGAATGTCTCCTCCCCTCGCCCAAGGCCACTGCCTGTCTCCGGCCAGTTCCAACACGGCGTCCTTCTCGCGTGGCCACACTCATCAGCGCGCAGCTCCGCCGAGGGGGCTGACGCGCGCGCGCGGCCAGGCGGCTCCTGGGGGCAGACGCCATCCAGCCTCCCCGGCGCCTGGTGCCCACCCCAGAGCGGCTGTCTCCCTAAGAGACCCCCACGCCCCGGCCGGAGAGCTCGCACCGGGGGTGACGGCCCCGAGCACACGTGGGCGCAGCCTGGAAGCCGCGGGGACTCTAGCCCATGGGGACCAGAGGGGACGTTCTGCCGGAAGACCTCGGCCCAGGGGTCGCGATCCCCACCCGCACCCCTCCCGGAGCCCCAGAGGGGACCGGCGAGGACGCGACCCGACGGGGGCGCGCGCGCCCATCGCCACCACAGAGGTCCCCGCAGTGGCGCGGGGTGGCCGGAGGAGGGGCCGAGGGCGGGGCGGTCGCAGCCTCCGCCACTCCCGGGCCCCCCCGGTGGCGGAGCGCCGCCTTCCCGGCCGCCCTCCCCCACCGCGCGCGCTCCGCCCGCCCCGGAGCCTCGCCCTCCGCCACGATGAGCAAATGAGCGCGAGCGAGGGCATGAAATTTCAATTCCACTCTGGGGAGAAAGTGCTGTGCTTCGAGCCTGACCCCACCAAGGCGCGAGTGCTGTACGATGCCAAGGTGCCGCCGCGGGGGGACAGGGTGGAGGCGCGGGACAGGGCCCCGGGAATGGGAGGCAAAGGGGACAGCGAAGGACAAGTGGCGCTGAGCACGGGACTACCACCCGGCCTGCGCGGAATGGCCTGCGCAGACGGCCCGGGGCAGCAGGGGACGCTAGAGAGGCACAGAGCGCAGCGCGCGGGAGTCAAGACTGGTACCAGGGATGCTTCCGCTTCCGGTCGTGTCTTGTCGCTCTCGCGGGGTTGTTAGGCCAGGATGGCGGTTTGAGTGCAGGGCGCCAATCGGGGCGCCTGGTGCAGGAGGACTGTCGCCTGGGGTCTCCGCTATTGCGATAAGTCTCTGGTTGCCCGATGCGGTCCAGCGCCGTGCGGGCTCCCTTGCGCAAACCCTAACTAACTGACCCACATCCCTAACCTTGGTTCCATAGTTCCTGCTAGCTGTCAGCTGGAGGCATCATTGTCCCGGGACCCTAGTGGAGTTTAGGATCCTTCCTTCCCTTAGGCCTTTAACTCTCCCCCTGGGGCGTTCAAGATCGGCTCTCCGGGCTTTCCAGCTTTGACGTTTTACGATTCTCAAGGGTTTGCCGGCGTCTGACAGTGCTTGGGAAGAATCGCGTCCCGGTTCCATCCAGCTCAGTCTGCAAGGGCTGAAACACATCTTGCAATTTGTCAGGTCTGGTGGCGGGCAGGAGTGAGCACCGAAGTGCTCCGTAGCCCCCAAGGAAACCGTATATCAGCGCGCTGGGGGTCGGGGCTAGCGTCAGTAATCCCAGCCACCAAGGCGAAGGCCTTGGTGGCGGAGATCCGGAGCAGCCCAAGGTGCGTCTCTAGCGTTATTTGGGCGGTGCTGTCCCGTAGGGACACCTCAAGGTCTGGGCTTGGTTTTCTATCTTTACTCCCTTTCCCAGAGCTCTTATCTCTTAAGTCCCTTTGCTATCCCTCCTCCTGCTTGCTTTGCCCCTGTGTCCCTGGGGGAGGGAAGGACACTCCCTTACACTTGAACCAGACCTTCCCTCCAGTGACAAAAAGCTACTACGGGGAGGGGTGTGAAGTCTCTGGCCAGCCAGACTGGACACTGGACGTTGAAGGGCCCCGGGAGACTACAACTCCCAGAGGTCGTAGGCCTGCCTCTCTAGCCTGGGTCCTCACTAATGACAAATCCACCAACCAATGGCTTTAGAGGCTTCACCCGGTCTCAAACTCAGAGACCAATCCCGAACTTGTTGGACGGATGTTTCCTATTTTGAGGCAGCCACTGGAGGAAAAAAAAAAAAAAGGAAAAAGAAAGAAATGTGTTGAAAATGTTTCAACCTAGCTCCGGATCTTAAAATAGGAGAGAAAGCTTTCTTGCTTTTTTGTTTTTGTTTTTTTTTGTTTTTGTTTTTGTTTTTTAAAAACCAAACTAGTTTTGCTCACCTAACTTAAAATTTTCGGTTTGTTTTGCCACTCGTGGACAATATTTCCTGGTTTCAGATCGTCGATGTTATTGTTGGGAAAGACGAAAAGGGCAGAAAGATTCCAGAATATCTGATCCATTTTAATGGTTGGAACAGAAGGTGAGTGAACTTTTTGCAACCAAACTGAAGAGTAATCTCCTTTGTAATACAATACCATTGTAACTTCTTGAAGTTTCATAAACACTTGTAGAAAAGTTTCATTTCCTGCTTTTGCTTTGTTCTTAAAGCTTGCCTATTTTGATGAATGATTACTTTTAAGTCTGTTATATTTGGATTATCTCTGAGTGATTGGCGGAAACTCTGGTTACTGTGACTGAGTTCCTTTTGCAGGTTTATTGGCATCTTTTTGTGATGTTTAACAGTCTTTATATAGTTTTCTAAATTGTCAGCAATTCTGGGCACTTCTATATGTCAAGGTGCTTTTTGCATTTATTTCATTTGTTTCAAAACACTGACCTTTCCATCCTCTTTCTTCAATTAGCTGGGATAGATGGGCAGCCGAAGACCATGTGCTTCGTGATACAGATGAAAATCGGAAATTACAGCGTAAATTGGCAAAAAAAGCAGTAGCGCGCCTGTAAGAATACAAAAATTTTGTATATGATTGTTATTCAGTATGATTTTCTTAGCATCTTGTGTTTTTATGATATAAAAGTCAATGTAATAGACTTAAGTAATCTTACATGCTTAAACTAGCTGAGTGGAGAGTTCCTAAAGTATTTTAAAGAATACCAGGCGTTTCCAAGGTGGTTTTGTCTGTTTTGAAATGGAGAGTACCGTTATGTTTTAAAGTTCAGTCTTCCAGATATTTAAAAACTCCAGATTCTTATATCTCATTTTGATCCCAAGACCCATAGCAGTCAGAGAGAAATGTAATTATAATTGTGTTTATTCTTTTTAGGAGAGGCACAGGAAAAAAGAAAAGGCGCTGCAGGCTGCCTGGTGTCGACTCTGTCTTAAAAAGTCTGCCTGTTGAAGAAAAAAGTGAAAATGAAGAAAACTGTAAGTGAATTGACTTCATTTTCTTCTACTAAAAACATTTGCATGTGGTCTGTTAAAAATATATTAGCATTGCTTTTTTAAAAAATTGCATAATTCATGTAGTCTTTCTATACCTGGGACCAAGGGGAAGATTCCTTGAACGTGTAGACAGGGAGATTGCTAGCTCACCTTAAGCTTTTTGTTTGACTTTGTGATGATATGCAACTATACTATTTTCTTGTTCCACTTTCAGCACAGTAGACAAAAAATACATGAGCTATTTAACAGTATCGTAAGGTAAGTTTTGTTTATATAGGCTAATATAAGTGTTCCGAGCACATTTAATCTGGTATAATAGTCAGTAGGCTAGGTATATTCGGTGCATTTTCAACAATGCAGTTATAACACCAGTACTAATGAAGGAACATTTCTGTAATATGCACTTCTTTTGTTTTACACAAAGTAGCATTCAGTAGGATCGGTCAGTCAGTCAACAAGACTCTGCCAGAGTCATACTGGTGAGTGCCTTTATCTCACCCAGTGAATCCTCACAGTTCCTTTCTCACAGTTCATTTTCTTCTTGATACGTCCAGGGCCTTGCCACAACTTATGAATACAACAGTGAACCATAGGGTCCTAGCTGATGAAACACTTTCAGATCATTAGGTCATGTGATTTTTGTATCCATTGAAATTAGAGTTTTATTTATCAAAATAGGTTTCTATTCAGAAAGGTACAGTATTTGTCTTGAGGATCTAAAATGTATCCAGACCTACAGATGAGTCTTCTTAGTCGAGTGCATGCATTCCATATATTTGGTAATGCAAGGATTGGCAAATTATATAATATGAGTTTGTCTGATACTTTTGTTTTCTCTAGCACTAAGCAGTTCCTGTAATGACAGTGGTGACGAGGAAGATGAAGAAGTAATTCAGGAACATCCCATTGAAATAAAGACTAAGGTGGTATAAGACACTTTGTATCATAGAAACTTTTCTTTGGCATGTGTGGTACTGGCTAAATTTCATGGCAGAATTGGCAGAATTCTCCAGTTACAAATTATTTTTTAAAGATATGATTTTTAGACCAATATTATAAATTTCTTCTGTGACATTTAAAGAAGAAACAACCTTTGTTTATAGTCATTGTATGAGTGTTTCATTGGTTTTTTTTAAAAAAAAAAGTTTTTATTTTTGTATTTTATTTATTATGTTTTATGTGTATGAGTATATTGCCTGCATGTAAGTGCATCTGTGTCTTGCAATGCCTGTGGAGATCAGACAAGTACATCAAATTCCCCTGGAACTGGAGTTACAGATGCTTGTTTAGCCAGTGCTCTTAATTGCTGAGCCATCTCTCCAGCCCCCTCATTGATTCTTTGTATCCAAGGTGGTGTTTTTTTTTTGAGACCAAAGGGTTCCCTGTAGCTCCAGCTGGCCTGAGATTCACTATGTAGACTAGGCTGGCCTCAGTCTCACAGAGACTACCTCTGCCTCCAGGGTGCTTGGATTAAAGGCATGTGCCACACTCAGCTCCTGATTTTTAGTTTTTTTCTCATTTATTTTTATTTTTATGTGTATGAGTGTATTGCTTGCATGTGTGTAAGTGTACCTGTGTCCTGCAGTGCCTGAGGAGATCAGAAGAGGTCATCTGATTCCGTGAAGCTGGAGGTACATATGGTTGTTACATATGTGGGTGCTGGGATTTCAACCAGGGTCCTCTACAAGAGCAACCAGTGCTCTTAACTGCTGAGCCATCTCGCCAGCCCCTGATTAATTTTTTTAATAAAGCATAACAAACATGGGCTTCTGCCTGCCTTAAATTGGAGGTAAACATAAATGAGCAGGATTAATGCTCTGAAAATACTTAGACACATGGCATAATATCTTTATTTCAATGTCCTTTAATATGGAATATGTGGAATGATGTGACTTGTGGATAAACTGGCTTGTTTGCATAGCAGATCCTTATGTGCCAGCTTATCTTTAGATATAGACTGTCCCATTGTTTTCAGTAATTCAAAATGTATTCGTGATTTACAGAAAAAGAAGGTATTGGCACTGCACTCCAGGAAGGCAATGGATGAAAGAACAATTACTGTAGACATCCCTGAAGTTCTGAAGAAGCAGCTTGAAGATGACTGTTACTATATTAACAGGAGGAAACGGGTATGTGGGATGGGGGCCGGATGTGTCAGAGTGCTTCCCCTCAGCTGCATTTTGTGGTCATAGTATCAGACATCGGGGAAGCTTGGAGAGATGAACTTTTCATTTTCATTCTTGTTCTGGATGAGGTTTTTAAAGTTGAATAACTGTGATGATAGATCTTGGCTTAACTTAAAACGTATATCTCATGCTGTCTATGTGAGCCCTCCAGGGAGCTTTCCAGAATTCTGATACCTGAGTGTCCATTAAGAGATTAGGATTTAATTGATCTGTAACAGGGGAGGGCTTTCTGGGGATACTTTGAGAGGTTTTCCAGATTTTTCAAGTGGAACACTAACACTGAGGGTCACTGCTTATATGTATTCAAAACAGACTTTAGCAGCGTGTTTATTTTTTCCCTAACAGTTAGTGAAACTTCCATGCCAGACCAACATCATAACTATTTTGGAATCTTATGTGAAGCATTTTGCTATCAATGCAGCGTTTTCAGCCAATGAGAGGCCCCGTCACCATCACGCCATGATGCATGCCCACATGAATGCACACTATATCCCAGCAGAAAAGAAGTGAGTAGCTTAGGTCTTCAGTCTTTTGGTTCTCTTTGGTTTCTTGTTTTGTTGTTGTTGCTTGTTTGTTTGTCGTGGTACTGGGGATTAAACCCAGGCCTCATGCATGGAACGTAAGTGCTCTTCCATAGACCTGAGTCCTCAGTCCTTTCCTTGTATCTTAGTGTTTAGAACAATGGAATCTTTTCTCCATTTAGTTATCTTGAGTTCATTTGATACACTATTTCAGAGCTGATTTTTTATTTGCTGATTTAGTTTTCAAATATGAAAATATTGTGAATTTTGTGAACTCTTTGGTAGCTCTTTGAACATGTGTCCTGGCTTGATTTTGCTTTGGCTTGGTGCCAAGACCAGTATTTTGAGTGTTATCACTTAGGGCAAGAATTCTTTGCCTGAAGCATCAGAATGGATAGTGAGTACTGGATTAAAGTTTGCTTATGATAGGTCTTTCCTTTACAAAAATATTTTATTATTTTTATTTTATGTGTATGAGTGTATTGCCTGCATGTTAGATACCCTGGAACTGGAGTTACAGATGGTTGTTAGCCGCCATGTGGGTGCTGGAAACTGAACCCTGCTCCTTTGCAAGAGCACCCGGTGCTCTTAACTGTTGAGCCATCTCACCAGTCCCATGACAGGTGCGTGTGAGCTACGGAATACATGTAGAGGTCAGAAGATACCATCGAGTGTTGGTACTCATCTTCCACCTTGTTTGAGTCACACAGAGTCTCACCTGTTGCTTACTGCTGTGTATGCCAGATGAGCTGGCTTGGAATTTCTACAGATTCTCTCTCATCTATGCCTTTCATCTCCTCATAGGAGCTGTGGGATTATACATGCATGTGCTACTGCATATAACTTTTATGTGGGTCCTGGGGATCCAGACCCAGTACTCCAGGCTTGTGAGGCAAGCACCTTTACCCAGTCATACAGCTCCCCAACCCCAAACAGGTCGTTATTCAATTAGTAGAGTTTCTCAAATACTGCCATACTCACATGGCTGGGCAGGGCCAAGGTCATAGAGGAAGAGTATTATAGTTAAATCAGCAGCCAGGAATCCATGCACCTCTGTACAGTGGCACAGGTGGCTGGGACCCATCATATTGCCTTTAACCTTTTCATTTGTGTTAAACTGGTACATTTAAGTTGCCAGCATACTTTCTATACTTTATATTAGAGTTTATTCCCCATTTTGTTCCTTTTTTTGTTAGTAGCTATACTTTCTTTTTATATATAATGTTTAAAAAGTCTGTCCTATTAAAAACATATGTGCAGATGGGGGACAGGTTCTAAATATGATCAAAATATATAAAATTTGCAAAAATTCAGTTGTAAAATAAAAAAAAAGACTGCCTCTTAGAGGAAAATGTCAGGTTTCATGGAAGCAGGTTTATGAAGGAGTATAGATCAAAATGTTAAGAAAATGTACACCTTCATTGTGAAATTTTGGAAAGTACCAATGACATTGCATGTCTAAATGTCTTCTTTTTAATCCTCCTAGTGTGGACCTCTGTAAGGAGATGGTGGATGGATTAAGAATAACCTTTGATTATACTCTCCCATTGGTTTTGCTCTACCCATATGAACAAGCTCAATATAAAAAGGTGACTTCGTCTAAATTTTTTCTTCCTATTAAGGAAAGTGCCACCAATACTACTAGGTGAGTAAGACAATGTACAAGTGCTCCGTTATCCTCAGATATTGCTGACACAACTAACTTCTATTTTGAAGAGTTTAATCACCTCTACGGGGTCTGTATGTTTGGAGGAAAGGAAAGGTTACAGGGTGTCCTTACTGGTGGTTTCTTTTTTTTTTTTTTCTGGGTAAGCTCGGTCACCATTCTCTTTCTCATGGTTGTGAAAGATTTTCCCAAGTAAACATTGTAGGTTAATCAGGCCTGGTGGCACACTCCTGTAATCCTAGCATCCCAAAGGCTGAGACAGGAAGACTGCTGTGGATCCAAGGCCAGTCTCCAGCAAGTTCCAATATAGCCAGGGCTACATAGCAAGGCCCTGAAAGACAAAAAGATTCCAGGGTACAGAGAACTTCAGTGGATTCTGAACAGCTGTCACCATCCCCTTCTTTCAGTGCCCCCATCTTTCAGAAGACAGTGAAGAGGGTCAAGACAGCATGCACCAGAAGGGTAGAATGTAGGGGTGGAATTCATATCCTCCACTTGCTGTTATGTGACTTGGGACAGTTTCTTTTGAGTTTCTTGCCTTTACATCTGTAGGATGGAATAAATGCGGACAGTTTCTTTTGAGTTTCTTGCCTTTACCTCTGTAGGATGGAATAAATGCCTGCCTCCCTGGTGGGTATTAAATGAGATTGTTCACAAGGCACCAACAAAGTTCCCTTCTTGTTCTTGTATGTCACTGCTTTTCTGCCTTCTGTGTCTAAACATGCTTTGTTCACTAGTTTTTCAGGGGAGAGGTGAATCCCCCCTTCTAAAGTCTTTGCCTTTAATTTTTGTAAGATACCCTCCCTAAATGCTGTGTTACAAACTAAAAAAAAAACCCAAAATAGTTCTACTCTTCTTGCTTGGTGAAAGAATGAGCTTAGCTGGGTTTCTGAACATGGGCTACTTACAGGCAGCTACACCCCTAAAAAACAAGAGCCCCTCCCCAGCTAGTGTTAACCAGTCATGTATCATCAGGTACAGAAGGGTCTTATGTGCCTCATGAGCCCTCCTTCCTTCTACAAGGAGATGTTAGCAGAGCCAGTCTTGTGGAGATCTCACATGGGTTGTCACAGCTGCTCCGATTTCAAGATAGCAGTGTATATATCACGCCTAGAGGACAGTTTCCTAGCACTAAGAATGTAGCATGTTCCAAAGATTTCCATTCATCGATCTCTCTTAACCAGGTACCATCTATTTTATCTACCACGGCCTTGCTAAAGTATTCTTTTGATGTTGCTAATAACTTGACCTTGCCATGTCCTGAATCACCACCTTTCCTCTCCCTCTTCTTCCTTGGCTTTCTGGTTCCTGAATCTCTCTCTGCTCCTCCACCATCTGTTTTTGGTGGCTTCTCTCTCACCTCCTTTATGTGTGTCACTTTCACCCCAGCCAAGAGGGCAGGAAAACCCACTAAAGACTTGTACTGAAGTCTCCGGGGTCTACTTGATACCCGATGAGCCTCAGTGTCCAAGATGTACTCAGCCATGCTAGTACTTTTCTCAAGTCCTGCCAAAAATTTACACTTTGATGAGAGTATGGAGCATTCTCATTCCCTAGACCAGAGCTTTCCTGCCCAGGAGTTCATCCTGTGTGATCTAGGACAGTTAGCAGCATCTCTGAGCTCTACCCACTAGGTAACATTATCCTGCTGGAACAGTCCAAAACTGTCTCCAGTCCTTGGCAACTGTCCCAGGTTAGGGCCAAATTGCTCCCAACTCAGAGCCACTACTCCAAAAAATACAGGACTATTACAGTGTTTCATTTGCCTTGCAGAGTTACAGAGAAGGTTGAAATGTTTTCACCTATTTAGGAACTCTTTAAGAAAATGTGTGGTTGGGCACACTTGGGGTTGGTTCCATATGTATGGCCCACCCCTGGGACAGCCGGTTTCTGAGTCTGCCTTAAGAAGGTCTTTCAGTAACATTCACATCTTCAGAGGCTGCTTGTGACATGGTCCTTCTTGCCTAGGAGCCAGGAGGAGCTCTCTCCTAGCCCGCCTTTGTTGAATCCATCCACACCACAGTCCACAGAGAGCCAGCCGATTACAGGTGAACCCGCCACCCCCAAGAGGCGCAAAGCTGAACCGGAAGCACTGCAGTCTCTGAGGCGATCCACACGCCACAGCACTAACTGTGACAGGTTGTCTGAGAGCAGCGCCTCACCACAGCCCAAGCGCCGGCAGCAGGACACATCCTCCAGCATGCCCAAGCTGTTCCTGCACTTGGAAAAGAGTAGGTTTGGTCTGGGAGCCCAAGCTGTTCCTGCACTTGGAAAAGAGTAGGTTTGGTCTGGGAGCCCCAGGCCTGGGAAAGCTACCACTTCCTTTATGCCTAGCCTGGGCAGGCCACGCTAAGTCTCCCTGAGTGTGTATATACAGTATGTGTAATACTTGGGACTTGACCCATGTGCTATGAGGCCACCCCCTTTGCAGAAGAGGAAACCACTGTTGAAAGATGAAACAGCAGTTAGCTTGATTAGCACAGTGAGGCTGCAGGAGAGGCAGGGCGGGGCTGTACGCTACAGGTTGATTTTTTCTCGGAGTCTCTTCTTCTTGTGAACAGATGGAGATATTGGAATCCCATGGTTTTTTTTTCTTTTTTTTTTAAATTTTTAATAACTACATGATTAGAAGAAGCATTTCATTACAGCTTTAACATATTCAGTAACACACTCCAGAGCAAGAGTACATCTCTTTCACAAGTGGCTGTAAGTTTCTAGGTTCACAGTTGAATTAATACATTTATACAATATTGAACTCAGTATAAGCCCTGTAAGACATAAAATTGAATGAGTTTTTAACTTTTAAAAAAGAATTCAAGATGAATGGTTCTAGTGGGTTGTTACATTTGTTTTTATTTTCAAAACATACCTTTAAAAACTCTTTTTGAATGGCATGTTAAAATAAAATGGTTTTGAGATGTAATCCACATGTCATAAAATTCACCATTTAAAGTGATTTTTAGTGTTGTCAGAACTGTGCAACTGTATCCAAAATCAGTTCAAAAATTTTCATCATAGAACAAAGAAGCCCCACATGAGTCAGTAATCATGTGTTTGTCCTTCCCCACCTCTCCTGGCAACCACAGATCTATTTGGCATTATTAGAATAACCTATTTGGAGTATTTCATATAAAAGGAATAATATAACATGTATGTAGGTGGTTAATAATTTGCTAGTGTGAAGATTAGGAAGGTTTAATTGAGAAATAAAATATTTTTGTTCATTTTTAATACTTTATTATTATTATTATTTTATGTGTATGAGTGCATTACCTGCATGTATGTAAGTACACCTATGTCATGCAGTGCCCATGGAAGTCAGAAGAGGGTATTGAATCCCTTGGAACTGGAGTTACGGATGGTTGTTAGCTGCCATGTGGGTTCTGGGAATAGAACCTGGGTCCTCTGCAAGGACAGGCGGTGCTCTTAACCCTAAACCATCTCTCCAGGCCCCAAAAGAATTTTTTTTAAGTCGTAAAACATAAAGTTTTTTCCCTCTCTCTCTCTCTTTTGTCTTTTTCTCTCTTCTGTCCCACTGTCTCTTTTTGTTTTCATGACATTTTTCATTGAGGTAAAGTCAAATACAAAATTAACCACTTGAAAGTACCTAATTTTTTTTAACTCGCATTGCTTTTTAAGTTTATTGAACTGTAATCCATGCAAGATATAATTTGCCCATTTAAAGTGTCCAATCCAGTAGTTTTCAGTGTATTCACAGAGTTGTGCAACCATTCCACTATCAGTTCTAAAACATGTTCAATACCTCCAAAAGAAATCTCATATCCATTAGCAACCACCCCCCTTTTTACTCCTTACAGCCATGAATTTCCATTCTATCTATGGGTTTGCCTATTTTACATATTACAGAAAAATGAATTCACAATATGTAGCTTGCTATAATTGGCTCCTGTCAGCTGAGCATACCCTTTTCAAGGTTCATCCATGTTGTAACATAGATCAGTATTTTTTTAATTATTCCAGGTGCTATCTTATATAAGAGGAAGGTCATGTTTTTAGAAGATTTGTAATTTTTGAGGTTGAACTTTTGATTTTTGTTCTGGTATTTTTAAAATATTTTTATTTATTATTGTTAGTTTATGTATATAAGTGTATTGCTTGCATGTATGTAAGTGCACCCATGTTGTGCAATGCCCACAGAGGTCAGAAGAGGGCATCAAATTCCCATGGAACTGGAGTTATAGACAGTTCTTAGCTGCCATGTGTGTGCTGGGAATTGAACCTGGTCCTCTGTAAGAGCAGCCAGTATGCTGAGCCATATTTCCAGTCTGGTATTCTGGTGATAGTCCTTAGTTCAGTCACTGTGTAACTTTATGAGCAAATAATCACAACTTTCTCTTTTGAAGAGACTCCTGTGCACAGCAGATCATCTTCGCCCATTCCTCTGACTCCAAGTAAGGAAGGGAGTGCTGTATTTGCTGGCTTTGAAGGGAGAAGAACTAATGAGATAAACGAGGTAAAGTGTTTGATGTTCATCTCCAGAATTATTTCACTATTTGTGCTTACTTAAAGTCTTAGGTTCCTGGAGTATCTGTTGCTGTTACTATGAATATTTGCAAAAGGATATAGAGGATTATGCTTGTTCCTGGTTTCAATATTGAGAAAACTCCTAGGATTACAGCACTACAGTTATAATGATACTTTATTATAAATAAATTCAATTATTGAAATACTCATATTTGCATTTTGTATAGCAGGCATCAACACTTCTATTGCTAAAAGCCTGAAAGGAACTATTTTAGGCTTTTGGGGCCACATGGTGCCTGACAGCACTAGTTCACTCTTAAAGTAGCCCCAGGCAATAATAAGATGGGTGTGTTACATTCCAGTCAGATGTTATGGACATTGAAAAGTGAGCAGTGTATGATAAATTACAAATATTCTTTTGACCAATCATTTAAAAGCATGAAGTTCATGCTTAGCTTTTGGGCAGTATAGAAATAGGCAGTGATTGGGATAGATGTGAGAGGTGGTGAGATAGTTGCTGTTATTTGCCTTTAGCATCTGATTCTCCTCTACCAAGAGTAACCCTAATAGCCATCCCTTTGAGAGCATGCTGAATGCCAGAATTGGGCTACATTTTTGAGCCCATTTACTTGAATCCTGAGAATAGCTTTGCCACTGCAGGTTTTATATTTTAAGGGAAATAGTGTTAACAGTTGTGTATCTGACTATTCAGACAAGGACTGTTTCCTCTCAAGTCAGTGCTGTGAGTCTGCCATCTAGTGGTCAATGGCAGAGAAGGCTACTTTGTGGTAAAAATTGGAGTTCAACAGTCTCTTATAACTCAGATTCCCTAGTAACTTCCCACCTCCTTAAGAGACTCTTTTTCAATGGGTTTTAACAAGAACTCTTTATTCAAATCGTTCATTTCTTAGTACAGACTGCTGCCTCTCTGTAAGGATCTAGACAAGTATATTGCTGGTTAAGAGCCACAGGTGGTCCTCACTGAGAATCCCTCCACTGATTAAAAGTTCCTATCTGTTCTGTGATGTCCTAGCATTTCTAAGGTTCAGCTGTGGGCACTGGGTTAGATGCCAGGCTGGTGTGAAGATGCCAAAACTTCCTGCAGAGAATGGCATGGGGAATCCACACCAGAGGCTGTACCAAAAGGGCAGGCAGGGGCTGAAGTGAGGCGAATGCCTTCATCCTGGTAGCCTACAGCACTTGTGAACGTCTACAGCTGCTTTTTTCATAGAACATGTCCTGCAATATTGGTACTTCCATGCTATTAATGAATTTGACACATCCTTCAAACCAAAGTGTCAACTCAGGAGTCTAGTCTCTGATTCTGTCACTGGCTGAAGCATTTCTAAGGAAATTCATCAGAGTTTTGAAATCCAGCTGTCACTAAGTCCACCCTAAGTTCTGAAATTCAGAGTAAATGCAAAGAAACCAATTATCAGGCTGGAACTCTGTTTTCATTTGACTCAGGAAATGTAAAGATGATTCAAATTAGTTTCCATAGGGATTCTACTAGCAAGGAACTGGAGACTATAGAAAATACCTTTGAATTGCTTTTTAATTTTCTCTTCAATGCTGCATGATTTCCTGCTTCAGAACAAAGGGCTACTAGACAGTTGTGGTTTGACTGTGAAATGTCCCCCATATGCTCAGCTCATATGCTTGACTTCCTCATCCCCAGCTGGTGACGCTGTTTGGGAAGGATGTGGGGCCTTGCTGGAGGAAGCAGCTCACTGGTGTCATGCCTGGAAGTTTTGTAGACTAGCCCGATTTTCCTGTTCACCATCTGCTTCCTGACTTGATACAATGTGACCCAGCAGTCTCCTGTGGCCTTATCTTTCCCACCATGTCAGAACATACTCCCCCAATCTGTGAGCTAGAAGAAACCTGTCCTTAAGTTCCTTCTTGACAGGAATTTTGTCCCAGCAACAGGAAAAGTACCTAATAGAGTGAATAAAACCGTTATGGTTATTTATAGAGAATAGCTGTTGAGAATTTTAAAATCTGATGTCTTCTTAATGGCCATCACTTTTGTTTATTTTTATAGGCTTCTGTTTATTTTTATGTAGCAGTATATATTTTTCCCTCTATATATGATTTACTGTCTTAAGATTTAGCTAGCTAGAAGTGTCTCTATTTGGAATAAAGTATGCGATTGATGTTTTTTCCAGGTCCTCTCTTGGAAGCTTGTTCCTGACAATTATCCCCCAGGAGACCAGCCACCTCCTCCCTCGTACATTTATGGTGCACAACATTTGCTGCGATTGTTTGGTGAGAATCCCTGTTCCTGATTACTTCTTTCCAGTTTTTTTCTTTTTCCTTGCTTTTCTATTTGTATATATTAACTCTACATGATAATGGGTTTCACTGTGACATGTTCATAAATGTATGCAATGTATTTTGATCATCATTAGCATATACACCCCTTATCCTCTCTTGTCCTCTTGTCCCTTTTCCATGTCTTTTTGTTTTCTGTGTACCTCATGAGTTTCATTAGCAGTGCTTGAGGAGGTGAGCTGGGGCACCTTATCAGTGGCTAAACCACTGAAGACAGTGTCTCTCCTACCCCAGCAGCCATTCACTGCTGTATGTCCTCAGGAGCTACATCAGTCCTAGCAGTCTCATCTTGTTTGGTTTTTCTTGTTGTTTGTTTGTTTATTAATATTTTGGGGGGTCTTTTTTGTAGACAGGGTCTCCCTGTAGCCCCAGCTGGCCTGGAACTAAGTAACCTCGAACTCACAGAGATCCTCCTGCCCCTGCCTCCTAAGTGCTGAGATCAGAGGAGTGGAACACCACGCCCAGCTTCTTTGCTTCTTTTTTAGCAGAATTGCTACATTATGGATGTCTTGTGGTTGGGCAGTATATATCTAACTAATGTGGATACTTACTTTGTACTTTAGGCTTTAAAATATAGTCTCCAAACATGACCTCTTTAAAGGAAAGGCACTGAATAGGGTTTATATTTCTTTTATTACATATATTTTATTTATTATCTTTATTTTATGTGTATGAGTATATTGCCTGCATATATGTAAGTGTGCCGGTGCTGTGCAATTCCCTCAGAGGTCAGAAGAAGGCCTCAGATCCCCTGGAATTGGAGTTACGGGTGGTTCTTAGTCACTGTGTAGTTGCTGGGAATCGAATCTGGGTCCTCTACAAGAGCAGCCGCTGTGCTCTTAACTGCTGAGCCATCTCTCCAGCCATAGGTTTTATATTTCATAAGTTTTTTTATATATATTTTTTTATATTTCATAAAAGTTGTTTGTTTATTTGTTTGTTTTTTTGGGACACGTTCTCACTAACAGCCCTGGCTGACCAGGGACTTGCTATGGAGACCAGGCTGGAAACTTGTTCTTAAAATATTTGATTTAACACTTCATCTTTGTTTAATAACTTTTTGTTTGATAACATAGATGTTAATTTCCATCCCTAGAAGGAGAAACAGTAATCCAGATGATCTTACAGTATGTCCTATACCTTGTAACATCCTGCTGATTACAAACATGTTTGCCTTTGTTTCGAACCTAGTAAAACTTCCAGAAATCCTTGGAAAGATGTCCTTCTCCGAGAAGAATCTGAAGGCTTTACTGAAGCACTTTGATCTCTTTCTGAGGTATTTTCATTACCTTGTCACACCTCCCTCTGCAACCAAATATGTGACTTTCCTAGCTTCAGCACATGGGTAATGTAGCTCTGCCTTATTTTACATAGTAGAGGTATAGGGTGTATTCTTACTGATAAGGTAAGATGGGAAAGGATTTGGGTTTGTTTGCTTATTTGTTCTATATTTCTTTTATTCTTCATTTCTCTTGGTTCTCAGTCAAGGATACTCAGTATACAAAGGTAAGATTTTGTGTCACTAGAAGAATCCAGTTGGATAAACTTAGAAGCAGAAAATCAATTTTTTGAAGGATAAGTGCTTAATATTTATATTAATTTTATATTTTTATTCAGGACTATCTTAAACATTTGATGTGTTCTTGCATGTGCACAAATTAACTTAAATAGAACTACCATAAATGACATGTCAGAATTCATAAAAAGGCATTGAGTCCATTTGATTTCTTACCTATTGGACATGGTACCTGAAGATCTGATGACCCACCTCATGCTGTGGTCCAGTCTTGTCCCTCTCTTCCATCGAGATGTCCATTAACCACTTCCTTACCTTGACCTTCTAGACTAGTCTTTACCTTGCCTCACCTATCTCAACCAAGCTACCAGACCTTCTTTCTTCTCCTTAAAGGAAACTGTTTTCTTTTTGCCAGATCCCACTCTGACCAGTCTCCCAGGACTTGATACAGTAGACAGTACTCTGCCCAAAGAAATCAGTCTTGTAGTTTTAAAGGTTATTTTTTGATATGGATTTTGAGTAGCATGTTCTTGAATGTAACTAGACTTTCCAAATATTTTATTGAAAACAAGTTTCAAAAATATCCTCTTCCCTCCCAATTGCCCCCTTAAGCAAAGTCATAGTTCTATTTGACATAAAACTTTGTAGACTGAATCCAAATATTGCCAAGGACAAAGGAAGAGACCGTTGAAAGTTAGTGTAAAGAAACCTGCTAATTTGAAATATTTCCCATACAAAGTAGAAATGAGGATTTTAGGTAATAATGTAGAAGTGATTATTAACAAATATAATAATATGTTTTTAAGATGTATACAGAGAGCAGGAGGTGGAATTTGGGTTAGATGTAATCACATGGTATGCATGTATAAAATTATCAAAGAATAAAGAGAAATATTCTTTAAATATATACTTTAAAAAAAAAAGTATCCAGTGGCAGCAATTAGAATCAATGGACTCAGTAATAACCTTCAAGAAGGTACAATTATGGACTGTAGAGATGACACAGCAGTTAAAAGCACTGATTGTTCTTCTAGAAGACAGGGGTTTAGTTCCCAGCAACCACATGCCAACTAACAATGGTCGTTAACTCCAGTTCCAGAGAAGCCAATGCCCTCTTCTGGCCTTCTTGGGCATTTGCACACATGTACACATGTGGCACACTCTTAATAGATTCAGGCAAAATGCATAATATTAAAAATAAACAAATCTTAAAGAAGGTACAGTTATAGAAGAAAAAAACCACTTAGCTGTCAAGTGATTTTTGGCTCGGATTTTTATTTAAAGAGCTGTGGCACAGTTTTAGGAATTTGGACAAGTAGGAGGTAGCTGGGAAATCCAGGATGAAACAAATTACCGTGTACATATTTGAGAGTGTATCTCGTAGCTCTCCATGGCAGAGTCAGTTGAAATTTGATTTGTTTTATATCATTTTGTTTTTTGAGACAGTGTCTTACAACATAGCTTCAACTAGCCATGAACTTGGTAGTGGTCTTCCTTCCTCAGGTTCCCAAGTGCTTAGATTGTTGGTCTGAGCCACCATGCTTGGATCTCACTTGGAAGTTTTAGCATCTGTGTGTGGCAGGCTCTTGAATCCATGGACATACTTGAATAGCCATCTTCAGACATACCAGTCTTTTGATATGCTGTGGTACTATCTCCCAGAACTATAACACAACTCTTTTTAAAATTTTATTATTTTTATTTTTTATGTGTATGAGTGTATTTCCTACATGAATGTAAGTGCACCCATGTCATGCAATGCCTGCAGAGAACAGAAGAGGGCATCAGATCCCATGGAACTGCAGTTATGGGTAGATGTTAGCCACCTTCTGGGAACCGAACCTGTGTCCTTCGCAAGAGCAGCCAGTGGTTTTAACTGCTGAGCCATCTCTCCAGCTCTGTAACCCAACTCTTGGCATGACAAATTAGGATGTAAAATGCCATTGTTATTCAGTTCAATTTTAGTGTAACTTCCTTCATATAAGCCCTGTGAATTTCTTTTTTTTAAGATTTTATTTATTATTTTTATTTTATGTGTATGACCCTATTGCCTGCATGTATATAAGTGCATCCATGTTGTACAATGCCCACAGAAGTCGGAAGAAGGCATGGGATCCCTTGGAACTGGAGTTACGGAAAGTTGTTAACTGCCATGTCGGTTCTGGCGATCAAATCCTGGTCCTCTGCAGAAGCAGCCAGTGCTTTTAACCACTGAGCCATCTCTCCAGCCCTAGCCCTGTGAATTTCTTAAGAGACAGTTATTGGGTTTCTTGTGTGCTATTTTTATAGTTTGAGTAACAGGTAAAATGTTCACTGAGCTTGTTTTCGATAGAAATGTTTATATAACCAGATTGTCACCTAGTGAAGTTTAGTCTCTGTTTTTAGTTCTGATGATGATAAACAGATGCAAATAAATAGTAGTCAACATAGAAACTAGGTAAATAAGTATGGTGGAAATAATTATATAGAAAACAAGACTAGAGTTGTATTTTTTTTTCCTTAGGATCAAAAATCAAATATTAAACTTGGTTGAAAGGTACTATTTTGCTTATGGGTGTTCAGTTCTTAGTATGCTCACTCACCAGGGCCATATTTGTTTCTTTCAGGTTTTTAGCAGAATACCATGATGACTTCTTTCCGGAGTCAGCTTATGTCGCTGCCTGTGAGGCACACTACAGCACCAAGAACCCAAGGGCAATTTATTAAAGTTTTGATGGTTCTGTAAGAACAGCCACTTATGTTATATTTTAGATTCCACATAAAGAGCTAATGTTATTTGAGTCTTTCATGTACTGTAGTTATTTCTATTAAGAATTACTTCCTGAGCTGGGTGTGGTGGTCCATACCTACCTAGAGGTAAAGCTTATAATTGTTTGTTTAAAAAAGAAAATATAATAATGAATTCCTGGGTGCCTGAACATGTTCCATGTAACACTTGCTATTGCACAAGCTATGTGTGATGGCAAGATACAAACAGCCATAGCTGTGTTCCTAGGGAAATGTTCATGAAAGTATGCACAGGTTAGGTTCTGATAGACATTGCAATTGGTTGTTAGCAAGAACCACCTTGCTTACTTGTTTGTGTTAAACAAAATGTTTTTGAAAATTGTTTTCTGTTCAACAGATTTTAGTTTGTACTTGAAAGCCACAAAGTAGTCTCAAAGTATTTTAGAGGGAATTGATATTGATGGCAAAAGAGAATTTGCAGCTATACATTGCTTGTAACAGTTCTCTTTCTGTGAAACATTATTTTTGGTGAGCTAAATAAAGCATTGCCTGTCTTGTTTGAGATTTTACAGCCATACTCTGCTGCGTAATGTTATAGTTCTTTTCTGTACAGTGTTATTTTGGGTGCTCTAAATAAAGCATTGCCAGTTTTGTTTGAAAGAACCAAGAGAAATTTTGCTCTGGCCTCACCATTCTCTGTTTATTGCAGGGCAGCAGTAGGGTAACCTCTTCACTCACAACTTTTGTTCCCGTTTCTTTTCCCTGTGTGCCTTTTTGTCTTTCCCTTCTTTGGTTCAGCCTCGTTTCTCAGCAGGACTAGATGGTGGTTATAAGAAGTTACTGTGGCTTGGTGCCAACTTGCTGCTCTCCTGTGGGTCCTGCTGTGCCTGATATTGGTTTATCCTTCTCCAAGATTACCAGCTGACACTCTGAAGTCATCCTTCTAATCCATATTTTACTGTTTCACATGTCTTTACCCCATCCCAGAGTTTAGAGAGTTTAAAGAGGCTGGAAAGGATAGAAGTACTGTACAAGCATTAAAGGTAGCACTTGTCTTCTTTTGGCTCAACTCAGTTGACTTGAATTTCCTAAGGTCGGTGGCCATGATCAACAAGGGCCTCAAGGATATTTACCTAAAAATGGCCCTTTCAAAGTGCCTTCTGCATTACTAACTAGTAAGATTCACTACCTCCAGATTGCCTGAGTCATTATCTTCCTTTATGCATTTAGTTGTTAATACAAATTCAAATTTGCCAGGACTTATTTGGAGCAGCCTTCTTTTCTGGTAGGTGTGATTGTTAATTTTCATTGTCAACAATGGATTTAGAGTCACCCTGGAAACAGACTTTTGGGTGTGTCTACCAAAGTGTTTTAGAGAGTTTTAACTAAAGAGGAAACAGCCACCCTGCATGCAACTGGCAACAGTCCATGGGCTGGGGTCCCAGACCAAATGAAAAGGAAAAAGCAAGTGGAGCATCAGCATTTGTCCAACTCTGGTTCCTGACTGCAGATGTTATATTACCAGTGGCTTCAGGCTCTTGCTGTCATGCCTTCCCATCCATCATGGACTGAACCATCAAACTGTGAGCCATAATAAACACTCCTTTATTTAAATTTTAAAAAATTTTTATTTGATGTGTATATATTTCCTACATGTACGTAAGTGCAATCATGTCATCCAGTGCCTGTGGCAGCCAGAAGAGGGTGTCACATGCCCTAGAACTGGAGGTAGCCATCATGTGGATGCTGGAATTCCAATCCAGATCCTCTGCAATAGCAGCCAATGCGCTTAACCACTGAGCCATCTCTCCAGCCCCAACACTCCCTCTTCAAGCTACTTTTGTGAGGTATATTGTGACAACAATCACAAAAGTAGCTAATGCCTTTAATTCTAGCACTTGGGAAGCAGAGGCAGCTACATCTTTTTGAGTTCAAGGTCAGCCTGGTCTACATAGCAAGTTCCAGGAGTTGGGGCTACAGGGAGGTCTTGTTTCAAAAAGATAAAAAGAAAAAAGAAGAAATAAAGTAGCTAATACAGAATATTGATACTGACAAGTGGGTCTGTTGTGATGAATCTGACTATGTGGTTCATAGACATTTGGAACTGGTTTCTGGAGAAATATAGACCAATTTGATACTTTGGTCTATAAAAAGCCTTAGAGCACCCTAAACATAGTTTAATGGTAAATTTGCATGGGATTTTGGAAGACCAAAATGCCAAGAGAAGTGTAGTGAAGACCTGCCTCATGAGGTTTTGGAGAGTAACAAAGGCTGTTGGAAATAGGGCCAGAGGCCATTTGTGTGATATTCTGGCAAATAATCTGGTTTCATCCTGACATGAAAATCTGAGTGAAGCTAGATTCTAAAGTAATGGACTAATTTGTTTCTTAGGGAAAAAAAATTCTCAAGACAGGGTAGCATTCAGGTTGTATCATTATTATTGCTTACTGCTGTCATCCAGGTCTACAGTGAGAGAGAGCAACAAGTGGGGCAAAAAAGGAAAACTGTGCCAGTTCTGTGGGGAAAGGGTTGCGTTTAACAATACAGGCAAAGCAGGTGCAGAGAAAGCAGTTTTAAATGTTAAAGTGATTAACAACATTATGCTCTGTACTAGACAATAGGACAGGTGCCCTGAGAACAAGGTCCCACAAATCAAAGGGTTTGTTTTGTGAAAATATGAATTCATTTGAAAGGAGAGAACTGAGCCAGGCCTGGTGGCACGTGCCTTTAATCCCAGCATTTGGGAGGTAGAGGCAGGCAGATCTCTGAGTTGAAGGTCAGCCTACATAGTAAGTTCTAAGCCAGCTGGGGTTACAGGGAGACCCTGTCTCAAAAACACCAAAAAAAAAAAAAGGAAAGAAAGGAGAGAACTGGGACTAGTTTTGAAGGGGCCAATTGCTCCATGAAATTAATTGCCTCAGAAAGCCTTTCCCCAGGACACATTCCAAGCCAGCAGCAGAATTTTGCAATGTCATCCACATGGTACTGGTATGCAGACATGAAAGAAAACAGAGATGTTCATGGAGGCTTGCACTAGAGTTCCAGAGAGCAGTAATGCCATGCATTGTGTAGCGGAGTTGAATTCTCTGCAAGGCCATTATGTGAAGATGTGAAAGTGAAGCCTCAGCTTCAGTGGAGGCTTCAGGATGTTGGAGGTGCCGGAGTTGTGGGTCATCTGCCAAGGAAAGCTGCAAGTGTGCAGTGGAGCTAGCCCAAGGGAGAAGCTATTTGTGCTACAAGTGACAGAGCTGGAATGATGGGCTGCCCAAGCTGCTTAAAGCCCAGATGATCCCATCATAAGCCCCAGTTTCTGGATATGGAACTGCAGGTTTTGCTATTTTCCCTGCTGGTTATGTTCTTGTTTTGGTTCCATGTTTCCTTGCTGTGCTCCTACTCTTCCCTTTGGGAGTGGGAATGTTTATTCTGTGCCACTGTATACTGGAACTATGTAAGTTGTTTTTAATTTTATAGATGCTCACATGAAAGAGATTGCCTTGAGTCCCAGATGACACTTGGACTTTTTAACAGTGTTTGGACTGTTAAAGACTATGGGGACTCTTAGGGTCTAGATACTTTTTAAATTATGAGATGGCAATGAAAATTCAGGTACCAAAGGTGGAATGCTATGATTTAGAATGTTGTCTTTAACTGTCAGGATTTGCCAGGGGTAGACTAGTGTTGGTTAATCTAGATTCTCAGCTTGACTAGATTTAGTCACTATGGAAATATACCATTGTGTATGTCTCTGACAGTGTTTCCACAGAGTTTTAACTGAAGAGGAAAGACTCACCCTAAATGTGGGTGACACCAATCTATTACCTGGGGTCTCAGGCTGAATCAAAAGGAGAAAGGGAGTGGTACACCAGCATTCACTTCTCTCTGCTTTCTGGCTGGACTCCTGTTGCCATGACTTCCCCATCATGACAGACTGTACCCTGCAAACTGTAAGCCAAAATAAACTCATTCTTCCTTAAGTTGCTTTTGTCAGGTATTTTGTCAGAACAATAAGAAAAAAAAATCCTAGTATAGTTTTCCTCTTCATTTGGCTCATATAGTGATTGCTAAAGTTGGTACACCTGCATATGCTCATGGCCCTGCCCCTCACTGCTGAACTGATTGTTGTTTATAGATCCAGGGAGAGGGGAAATCATTGCCTTCAGTTGTGTGCTCACTGATGACCCCACCAGGCTCCAGTGGATAGTTCCAATCCAATTGTCACACAGATGGCCCTGATTAAAGTAAACCCAAAACTCATGAGTCTGAAAGAGAACGGCAGGGATGGGAGTGTGCAACATGAGTGGGAGGGAGATAAGAGAGGCTGTGGGGAGGAGAATAATCAAAATACATTATATACATATTCAAAATTATCAAAGGAAAGAATAATAGTAAATAAAACCAAAACAGGCATAGTGGCACAGGCTTGTAATCTAAGTTCCCAAGAGATGAAGATAAGGGGATCAGGAATTCAAGGTCATCTTCAGCTATGTAGTGAATTCAAGTACAGCTTGGGCTACATGAAACCCTGTCTCAAAGGAAAAAAAAACAGGCAAGGTGAGGTCAAGACAGAAACAAGCTGGGTAACTTAGTGAGAAGTCTCAAAATTTTAAAAAGTAGAAAGTGCTGGGCATGGTGGCACATGCCTTTAATCGCAGCACTCAGGAGGTAGAAACTGGTGGCTCTTTGAGACATCTAGGCAAGCCTGGCCTGCATAGTTTCAGACCAGCCAGGGCTTCATAGGAAGGCTCTGTCTCAAACAACAACAACAAAAAACCCAAATCCAAAAAAGCAGTTGAGTGCTTGCCCCAGATTTTTATCCCAGTACCACCAAAAACAAAAGTAAGATTTCCGTGAATTGTCTGTGAAGTAGGGGATATGGTACCTATCCAGCCTCATGCCCTCAGAACAGTGAGAGGGCATTAACTGAGAGACTGGCCCAAATAATTTTATCCAGATTGCACATGTGACCAGTATGCATCACATATGGAAAATGTACATATTGCATCTTTCATCACAAGGCAGGGAAGATGATGACAAGAGAAGGAAAAGAGAGGGGCTGGGAACATGTATGTCTTAGTTGATAAAGTGTCTGCTGAATAAGAATGACCTTATTTCGGATCCTCTGACACTCCTATAAAAGCTGGGTGTGGTTATAGGTATCCACCATAGGGAGTAAACCCTGGAGCTCTCTGGCTAGCTGGTCTAGCCAATCAGTGAGCGGCAGGTTCAAGGAGACACCCTTCTCAAAACAAAGTAGAGAGCTATCCAGCAAGATACCTAACATTGAGAATCTGATGTACACATGTGCACACATACACAAAGACAAAATGGAAGGAGGAAGGGAGAGAAGGAAGGAAAGAAGAAAGGAAGGACAGAAAGGGAAGGAGGGAGGAAAAAAGAAACCAATCCATCGCAGGGACCTTTCCTATACAGCAAGGGTACTCACACAGTGTAGTCTGGTTAGAATGTGGGTTCAGGTGCTGGAGAGATGGCTCAGTGGTTAAGAGCACTGGCTGTTCTTGCAGAAGCCCTAGGTTCAAATCCCAGCACCCACATGGCAGCTAACAACTGTCCATAACT